TACAAAGAATAGGAATCTTAAAAAATAAAAATGTATACTGTGTTAGTAAGAACCAGGAATCTATCTCATCAGGGATTAATCGTTTAGTTTCTGAAAACTTGATCACTACAAAATTAAAATGAGCAAATTTTCCAAGAACAAAAGTAGTCAATTTATCATTTAAGTGTCTTCTGCACAGTTTTCTAAGATATTTACATATTAAAATTTAACAGCTCCATCTCATCAAAACGAATCAAACGTTTCTTCAAATTTATCACTTTCCTATATCATCCGACCAGTAAACAATATACAACGAAAAAAGCAATAAAATCTAAAAGAAAGAAGACTACCCAATGGTACTAATAATCGTATCGTTTCTGCAGAAAATCTTCCCACTTTAGCGGAAATTATTATTTTCACGATGCAGTTTAAATCCAACCCTATTAAATTTTCTTGGTGTGTCCTTTTCTCCTTGTACTCCCTAGGTTTGCGGTTCAGGACATTTTATTTCAACGCCATAAATTTCGTCGAACATTTCGACGGTACGGAGTCAAGACGCACATACACTCAGCATCTCTACGCGAGAATCGATGGCTAGGGCTGAGACACAATTCCCGCGAGTTACGATTCACAATATGTTTCGAACGTACGAAAGAAAGAGAGAGAGACAAAGAAAGAGAAAAAAATAGAAAATCGATTGTTGGATAGTTAGAAGCTCGACGACGAAGAACCACTTCCTGCCTCTCCGAGAAAAGAAACGCGTTGCGAGCAAAAAGTTCCTGCCACTACTGTGCAAAATGTATCCCACGTACCGGCACGTAAAATGTTTTCGCTTTGCATGGCCTACTCTCGACCCGCATACGCCCATTTTTCAATCACTTTATTCCTTATTTTGCCATTTTTCGCCGAACTAAGAACCGCTCGCAAACTTCTGCTCAGTGAGACTGGTCAAGTGGAATCAACAATTAAAAATATTAGAGGCGCCGAGACGTTGTTCGGTCAAAGTGAAATTCTAGATTAGTTGTTCTAATAGTTTTATATTAGCTGGTTTTTCGTCGAGGGAAAATTGCACTGTAATATTGGAAGTTATTATTAACTCATTACTAGTCGTTACGTTAATGCGATATTTCATATGGGATTTCTTTTTTTTTTTTTTTTTTTAGGTTTTTTGCTATTACTCACACACGTAGAATTGTGGTATACGATATTTGTTTCTGTTTCTTCTTCTATTTAAGTTTTATGGCGTTTAATGAATACACATATAAAAATATGTAGTTTGAAGGAAGTGTCTACAACGCTATTACAAATTGTTTCTCCGAAGATGAATGAAAAATAAGATAATATTTGAATATAATGAAGATAATGTTTTTCTATTTTTTATTGCTTATTATCCTCATTTTCTTATTAAGGTATCATTATGTATCAAAATGGTATTTACCTACATTCTAGGACAAGTGTTAAGTCCAAGCATGGAATAATCCCGTTTTGTAATTACACAACGAATGTATTATAATAGATGATATATTGTTAAAAATTTATTTAGTATAGAATATTTATTTAGTTGAGGATATCAATGTCAACTTTGCGATGGTAATTAACACGAATTGCGATTTCGATACAATATGGTCTACAACGTTGAGTGATGAACACAAATGAATATATGATATCTGAAGAACATGAATAATTGAGTGGGTCTACTGAAATGCATTATTGTTCTCGTAAGTAGTAGAGCAGCCAAACTTTATGAAATTTCTACGTATATACACATAACTAGTTTATGTATGTGCTTCAAACAACAATAACGCTGTCGTTAATTAATACATTCCTTAGTAGTTCCTACGTTCCAATTAATACTACTTTTGCTACATTTTTTTATTATTCCTACTACACAAAATTTATATTTTCTAGAAAAAAAACAAGAACATAACAAGAAATTGTTTTTAAATATTAGGTTGTCCCAAACATGAAGCCTAATCTGTCTAGTGTTGCGGTCTTTATCTCAATAGAATAAAATGGATCATACATAATTCAATAAAATAATATGAAACGAAAAATGTTGTGCATCTATTATTTCCTTATAATACGAAAGAAACTTTTGGGACAACCTAATATTTAGTCAAAATTAATATTTTCACATCATGTTTTATTATTTACATTAATGTCGAAGTGGTCATCACTTCTAAGAAAACTCTACATCTGGCCTTTTTAGTTTTCTCAAGCACTGAAGCCATTGACAGCGTATAGACAAAAGACTGGGACGAAGGCAGACCATAAACAGCAGACAGGCGACGTTGGCTTCGGGTTTTTCAGTTATAGGGTAACACTGCTAGCGTGCGGATCTGGACCAGCTCAAATTATCATCCTACTTGTACTTACACTTCTGTATTAAAATATATTTTCTACCTTACAATTTATCCACGCGTTTCTCTGTTTATACATCTAATGACCTTAACAATTAATATAAATTATAAATTACTTCTGAGAAAGATTAGTACATACCATATGTGTAGGTTTAATTAACTTACTAATAAACTTTAAAGCATATTACAATATCATTTAACTTTCTTAATATCCATAAATATAACTATATAATATAAATATACTATATAATATATAACTATATAACATAAATTTTGATGAATATATCTGAAAAATATTATCTTCTTCTGTTCCTCATAAATTCGCCTCTAATGAAATTAATGGCATGTAACGGGTATACCAAATTTCTATCTATTTTTCCTCCACAAATGTTTCAAGTAAATAGAAATAATAACAACTATGTACACACGAACACATAAAATTTTCACTAATACCCATTACTTTGAGACACGCAATTAGTAATCCATAGGATGGTTCTCATCAACGCGAAGAACCAATCAGTTAATGATCAATTAATCATTCAGCTAGAACAGAATCATTTCGGTTGCTCGTAATCAGTCTACTACAATGATTCTGGAGTGCAATTAGCGTACAATACTTCTTGGAAGCACGTCGTATCGATTCAGCGTACCGGAATAGCAATTCACGCGATCATTATAACACATGATCCACTGTATTTACGCTTGCTTATTCGTTTTTCTACCTTCTCACCTTCTCGAAATGCGCGCCAATGTTACGCTTTAGGCGAACATTTTCGCTCGAGCCACACAGGAAATTTATAGCGGAAGTTCCCTTTGCTCATGATCAAAAATTTCGCACCCGTTGACGCAAAACACGCGTGGGTGCCGATTAAATTCGTCATTTCACGATACGTTTCCTACGAATCAGGGCAATTTTCGAGCAAAAGACGGGTTTTGAAGTTATCGTGTTATCAACGCGACGTTCCTATGGTGACGATAAATGTATTGGATAAACGGATGTCAAAGCAGACGATTGGATATAGTTGGTTTGAGGCAGGAATTTACCTAAAATATTATTCTCTAAGGAATGATACTTGCTTGAAGTATCGTAAGATTAAAGATGAAAAATTGTTTTGATATTGAAATTATCTTATAAAGCGTATGTATGAAAATATTCGATGCGAATTTCTCTTACTTTTACTACATTTTCCTTATTGATTTAAAATTATTAAAAAGCAGCTGAAAGCATGTATTTTTAATCATATAATCCGAGAGAGAAAATAATTTATATTTTAGTTATTACAACAACATTAACTTTCAATATAGTTCAATTTATTCACATATTAATACAAGATATAAAGTTAGTTTCATATATTCGAAGCTGAAGAATACACGTAAGAAACAAGAATAGAAACAATTAGATCGGCCACTGAGACGAACGAAAATAGTAAGTAGAAATAGAAAGAAGATTTATGTACATCAAACTATTACAAGCTATATTATATTAAAATATAGTTTTTAGTCATTAGTTGATAATTTATAGTCCCTAATGCTTAGTTTTTAAATATAAAAAGATATAAAAAGATATAAAAAATTAGCAATAGAATAGAGTAGAGTAGAATAGAGTGGAAAAGAGGGGAGGTAGACATATAAGAAGAGAATTAGATGTAAGAGATGTAAAACCGAAAGTTTGTCTAAAGCCGAAAGGCACGGACTAAACAATAATAATAATAATATATTAAAATATAATCAAAATAGTATCAAATCAAAAAAGTATTTTACTACTGATGCTATTTTCTGTATTCGTTTTGATTAAAAATTATTTAGTTTAACATATTTATACTATTGTAACTTTTTAAATAATATTATTTATTCTTTATCTTTCTTAGCGCGAGAAACTTCGTGAGCCCCTTCCTTCTTTTTTTTTATACAGCAGGAAACTCGTTCATCAAAATGTAAAGCTGTCGTGGAAATTTCTGCTCAACAAATGTCGTACGCCAATTGCTGAACTGTCCAACGTTGTTTTATCATTTCATAATTGGTTTTGAAATACTTGTATCCTGTTCGTCCATGTGGACGAACTAACATTTAGCTCTACAATAAAGGAGGGTTCTAGCTATTCGAATCTATTGCTCATCGACTTCCCGATTATAATAGCACCTATAAACGTGACACTTTTCGATATTTGGAAAATTTTTGCATCCCCAGATCCTATGAAATTTTCAAGTCGATCGGAAATTAAGTTATTTCGTATGAAACCAACCAACGTGAACGAGAATTAAAACGAGGCACTCTTGGTCTTTTTTAACCTTGTCGAAAATCTATACGTCTCGAATATTCGCATCTTTTTTAGTTTTTCATGATACTTTTCAAACTTACAAATCTTACAAAGTATCTCGAGATAAGAGACAATAAGTTTTATAGGATTAAATAATTGAGTTTTAAAAGATACGACAGTTAACGTAACATTTCAATGAAGACCAAATATTCCCTCACCTGAATTTCTAATCCAATAAACAGATTACATTTGAACCTACGGACTATATTTTTGCAAATTCGTATTTTTTCTGGTATAATTAAAAAAGTGGAGTGTATGTAGAGCATTGTTTTCTCTATTATATCATACACAGTACTTTAGTTTGCTTACTTTATATATTTTTGCATATTATATGTATTTTTTGTATTTTTGCATCTTAAAATTTTTTCACAAATTTAACAAATGTGTTTAGAATTTACATTAACTTACAGAATTACTATTTAACATTTCAATCTCTTTATCTAAAACTAATGTAATTTCGTGAAAGAAAATTGCGACCTAATACATCGGTACAAAATATCATATCATATATAAAAAGTTTACGATACAGTACTTTGTCAGAATAGCTAATAACTCACTCTTCTATTTAATGAAATAAAAACAACTTATGGTTTCGATAAAAAGAATCTTATGGTTTCCGAAAAGGAAAGTTGCCACTGTCGCCAAACGGAGGGCTGTGATTTCCCATGGCAATTCCGCTCGACCGGCAATTTTATTCTTTAACCAGGCGACGAAACAAAGGGACGAAGGCGACAATATTACTGGAGAGGAGATAAAGCGAAGCATCAGAACCTTCTGTCTTTTCGTCGCGAAGAAAGAATCTGATCGGGCGAATATCGAAAGTTCTCGTCGCGGTGGAATTTTCGAAATTCGACGAGTTGGGCCGAGCAATCATTAAAACGAGCTGTGTTTAATTCCGGTTAAGGTCATCATTGGACGAGGGGATGAGGGCGAAAAGAACTACAGAAGCTGTTGTGAAAGAAAGGGCCAAGATGGAATGGGTCTGTGTATTGTGTGGCAAGGGATGAAATTGATTGATGCGCCACTTCCGTTCCAGACTTCGAAAGCAACGTCGTTGGCTCTCTTTTTGTTTGAAGAAACGCATTAATCTGAATTATCAACCACGAAGGAAACACACAGGAAGTTGGTGAAACACACGCCAAGTTTGTCTGTTCTCTGCCTTGGAGTAACTTAAAATAGAGGGAGGAAATAAGTATAATTCTTTGTAATCTTGATTACATTTTTCTTCTTTCTTTCTTGTGTGAATGATATGAAGAAAGGGCACAATTGCTACATTAAGAATGCTTACGCAAGTTATATTTGTATAAGAATAATTAAAAGAATAGGATCTATGCAGAAATTGGCATATATTTTGAAAATTTTATATTTTACATTTTATATCTGATATATTATTTGGAAATTCAATGAACGATGAACATTTATTATTTATATTATTATTATTCGATAATTATTACGATATTAAACAAATGTATATTACAATTTAAATATCCCTTGACCATTTGACCATTTTTATTTTAACACTAGGATTAAAAAATTGTCAGAATGTTTGTTTTTGTAATTATTGCATATATACAAGTATCTTTAGCAAAGTTAATGTGGGCTCTCATTATGGTAGAAATCTAATTATATGCATATAGATACTATTTGGTTCCATTACACACCATTAATTATATTCACCTGTATTATTAATTTATGATTAATAATGAATGTAATGATAGTACAAAAATATAAGAAGAGGGAAAGAAAAAGTTATTCGAATTTTCATGTTTTTAAACGAAAAAATTGTTTTATAGCTAGCATCAATCTCAGCATCAATTTATAATCGGGAAATACCATTCGCTTCGGCAGTTGATTTCAATTTCCCCGAAATTAATTTATCCGAGAGACATACGTATGTGAATTTCTGCGTAGTGCAAAATCGAGATGATAAAATTTCAATCGCGAATATTTATCGTTGTAATGTTGTCGAAAAATTTCCATGCATTGCAAACGAAACGCGCCACGAGTACGTTTGAAATAGATCTTTGTTTATTACATTCTCTCTAAAAACATTCATCAATGTATGTTTCGATTGCCTTTTATTTTATTGCATTTTTATTATGCCACAAATTAAAACAATTAATTAAACAATGATGCAAAAGTTACGTCTTGAAAATTGGTTTAGATAAAAGATCTTGATCATAATAACAAAATATGTTGAAATATTTAAATATAGATATTAATAAAAATTGTACACTCTTTAAAAATCCTGGGAAATTGTTATTAAAAATATATTGTAATTTCCAGTTAATATCAAAATAATTATTTTGATTATTTTAGACGAGCACTCATTACTAAAGACCTTTCGTATAATAGTATCTTATTTAATATTTTCTTTAAAAATATCTTTGTTTATTTAATATTTTCTTAAAAGTATCTTTGCAGTAATCATGATATTATTCATAATTTAGTATGATATTTAATTATTAATAGGCACAACACCTTCAAAAACGTCAGTTGTTATAATTTAATTTAAATTTTTTATAGAATTATGTTTCATCAGATTGTCTGAATTATTGAAACTCAAATTCTACACAATTACACAAACTTTTAATGAATATATAATAGTATATAACATAACTACAACACCATGTTTGCATTGATCGAAAAAAATCCGATTATATGTGATTTCATTAATTAGACTGACCAAGTTATGGAAAAAGAAGAACAGCCCTGTAAGAGTGGGAATTATTTTGCAGTAAGTTTTGATACCTCTGCATTGTTTAATTATGTTCACAGCGAAAATGTTTATGGAAACATGTTGTTTGTAATCGACTTACACTGTATTGTATTTTTTCGATCGTTGCCTGATGAATATTCTATAGAAGAATAAATAGGATGCGCGTTCATCTATTCCCACATCTGGTGTCAATATTTATCCTGTTTTCGAACGAATACCTTCAATCAATATTTATGCGTTGCGAAAAGAAAATATTTATAGTTAGAATCACAGTAGAATTTGAAACTGTTCCTGCAATAAATTAATAATCATTGTGTATATTCATACATTATATAAATATTTACTAGAGAATGACCTGATTGCATTATTGGCTCTTTAATATCTAAAAATTGATTTGTAAATTCGTAGAATCGTTGATTCCAATGAAATCTTGATAATATATTAATATGTATGATATAACAGGTTTTTGATAAAGATTTTTATACGAATTGATTCTTACAAAAATCTCTTCGCATCTGTATATAAAGTGGACTTACGACTTTGTAAAATATATTACAATAAGTTGCCACGGTTAAAATAAACGATCACTTTGTTCCATTAACTAGATTATCTGAATTGTCCATTTGGCCACGGAAATAGAAAAGTTAACTTCCGTTCTACCTCGTTACATCCTCGGTTCGCTGCAATCCAAGAACGAAATCTAGAAATGTTCCAATCGAAGAATGTAGTTTCTCAGTAGAAAGCGTTTACTACCGATAAAACGTTTAACTAATTGGATTTTTTTAATGTCGTAGCGTTGCAAGCGTGTTGATCAAAGGATATTAATCTGAAGATATATACAATTGTAATCGCACCACTGTAGCTTCTAATAATTATAAAATTTATGGATTTCGTATGTTTTCGAATAGTAAAATATTCAAATTCTCAAACTTTCAAATTGTGCAATCATCGAGTTTTCAAATTTTCAAATCTCCAAACCTTTAAAAATTTTTTAATACAAAATTTAGATGTCGAAAATATACCGAGTTGAGAGTTGAACTCCTACGTTAATTTTTAATGGAGAGAAGTCTTTTCTATTAATTGTGCAATGCGAGAATAAATACATTTCACTATTTTTCTTCGCAATGTTATACAATTAAAACTGAGATCGTTCCATCGAGAACTGGGTTGATACTCTGCGAATTTGTTTTCCCTTTAATTTCGAGAGAAATTTCGAGCTGGATTTTTAAATGCAGAAGGCAGAGACAATCCTTCAACCGCAGAAATCGGGAGATTGATATGACTGCGACGAGTCATTGAGTTCTAAAAGGTTGGCATCTTTTCTACGTTTTAGTTGTTCAAATGAAGAACAGGGTTTGTTCTGGTTTGTATGATGAATTTCGTAACCAGCTCGTATTACGCATCTTCCGGTTTCCGTTACGATGAAAGTGATCGAATTTCGTTGCGAATTGGGAACATAGTACATAGAACAGTACATAGTTACATTTTCGAGGTTCTCGAGCTTCAACGGATTCGATTTGCTGAAGGAGAAGCTGAACAGAAGTGAAAAGTATTTTTAATGAAAGTTTGGAATATTAAACAAATTATTAAACAAATATTAATATTAATATTAAATAAATTTGAAATTTTTTTTTATATTTTTAGATATGCTTAATGAATGTAAATTATTAGGAGAGGCAATTTTGATAATCAAATAACATAATTAAAATTCAAGAGAAAAGAAACTTTATATCGTTAAAATTTAGCTTAAGTCAGAATTTTAAAGAAATTCATTCAAGAAAGAAAATAAACGAATTGGAAGAGATGTTAATCATAATATTATTCAAATTTATAATTAGTAAATTTGTTAAATTATAATATCTAATACTTCATGATCTTTTTAGCAGAATTTGTGTTACCAATAGTAACACACAACTTTTGTTTTGAATTTAATTCCGCAACATTGTTACTTTTTATTCTATGACATATTACATGGATACATTACACAGTGTACAAATTAAAATTCCAAATTTTAAATTGAGATGGTTCCTGAAAATCTCGTCAACGTAACGGATGACATTGCTGTCAATGATTTTAATTAACGCTATCATTAAATACGACATTAAAAATGCAAGAATGAACGAAACGCTTCAAATTGTCGTTTACAGCTGAGATTGAAGTTGGACGAAAATTAATTTTTAATTTATGTACGCTTTTAATGCATTATTATTATATGCAGCGTTATTTTCCTGTTTAAAATGAGTTTCGTTTATCATGAGAGGTTCGTAATATTTTTGCTTTCAATGTTTCTGATTTTCGATCCTTGAAGAAATTTTGAAGATTTTTTCTTAAAATTCAATATATTTTCTGTTGTTCGTTAATTACAATTTTATAATGAAATTAGCAAGATAAAGAATACCTAATAATTTTTATACTTTCTTAAATATTCCATAATTTTAGCCTTCTTTAACTCAAAATTTACCACGAAAATCTAAAAAAGAAAAAAATAGTCCACTAAAATCTATAAATAACCAAAAAATTTTATTGTCATCCTTCATCAAAATTTACCTTCATTAAAATTTTCCTAATCTTAGCTTCCATTAATTCAAAATTTTCTATTAAAAACTGATAAAATTAATAAACAACCAGAAAACAACTCTTCTAGCAATTATGCCAATTCCCATTAGATTTACCTTCGATACATTTCAATTTCATTGTATACGCTTAAGTAGCGTCGCAACGTCTATAGACGTTTACACCACCTTCTGGTGTCTCTTCGATCGGAGGGATGTTGTGCTAAGCCGGCGGTAAGCTTTCGTTTCGAGTACCCTTTAAAGCTCGGATTAACCGGCGGACAAATTAACTTGGGGTTAACTTTGGTATCATTTGATTAATCGTATGCAAATCTCAAAGAAAATTTCTTTTTTCATTTTTCTATCGCGAAATCAGATCGGAACCTGTTGAAATCGAAAGGAATTCCACTCATTTCAGCTTTTTATCAACAACCTCTAATCAGATAGTTCTGTTAACTTCCGCTCATTATGTTTTACTTACTGATTGCTTTGGGTTAGTTTTTTCTACACTTTTTTTGTTATTTTAAATCTGTTAGCTTTTTTACCTGTACCTGCATTGTCGTTCTGTCAATTAACGTCGAATATTTTTCATAGAAAAGTGATACTGAAATTAGCTGAAAAGCGAGGAATATTTGACGTGACGCGACATTTTAATTAAACCTGTGTAATTATATGCTTTTGATAAGGTAATGGTTCGTTGCACCGCTTCGTTATAATGTCCTCAACAGTCTTTTGTTCGGCGATTAACTAATAGATTTTAGTTATCATCCCATTCGTGTGATGTAACAAATATTGTGGTTAAAAAATACATAATTTAAATTAATATGATTATTGTGAATTATTAGATCAACTTTTTTAGGCTTTTTAGGTT